TGACACTCTAAGTGTGTTGATGTTTCAGTCACTGGCATCAGAAGAACAACTCATATGAAAAATGCTTCCTTTATAATCGGCGGTGATTATAACCTTCCTGGTATTGACTGGAAAAACGGAATTTTGAAACCAAATTCAACTCAACAACATATACTAATGCAATTCCTAGATCTTCTTGATTGAACCAGCTACAGTAAACAACGCCCTAGACTTAGTGATTACAAAAAATCCAAACCAAATACAGCGAACCGAAGTAATGCCAGGTTTACCTGACCACGATATGGTCTTTGTTGAATACCCATGTACCCCCAACAAGATCATCCAAAAGCCTCGAAACATCACACTTTATAGAAAAGCTCGATGGGAAAATATAAAACCTGATTTAAATTTTCTGCACGACCAACTTATTAACAGTGACAAATCTACCGATAAAATTTGGCAAATGTTTAAAAAAACCTGCTCTTATTGTGTAGAAAAACATATACCATACAAAACCGCAAAATCCAAAGATGGTCAACCCTGGATCAAACCTGAAATAAGACGTCGGATTAAAAAGCTTGACCGCCTTTATAAGAAATGAAATAAATCTGGAAATTGTATCGACACCAGCATGGTTTCAGACAGTCTAGGTCATGCGTAGATGTGTCTAAAATTAGGAAAATCACAGACTGATGTTCTCATTCTCGATTTCTCTAAGGTTTTTGACAAAGTCAGTCACAACTTGCTGCTTCACAAACTGCATCACTACGGACTCAGGGGAAACATCCACACCTGGATAGGAAATTTCTTATAAAATCGTACGCAATCAGTCATACTCAACGGCGAACAATCTACCTACGTACCAGTTGATTCAGGGGTCGGTCCTTGGACCGAGTTTGTTTTTAGACTATATAAATGGCATGCCCCTCGGTCTCAATTTCAATTCAATTTCAATTCAATTTTATTACCAAATGCACATTGCATATACATATACACATTGATATAGGCGTACAGAAATATAAATATTGATCAATACTTTACAAATATCTGAAAACATTTGCAATAGGTCTCACATCGTCTGCTGGATAACCGAACTAATCGGTAGTGAAACGGACGTAAAACCTATCAATCAATCAATCAATCAGTCGAACATCCTCAGTTAGACTATCCGCTGACGACACTATTGTGTATACGTGTCTCCTCCAATGCAACATCTAATACCTAAGAACGACCTTAACAAATTGGCAATAAGGGGAAAAAGGCGGAAAATGGAATTCCATCCCCATAAATGTAGTGTTTTCTCCATCACCAAAAATTTAAAAAATAAAAAAATAAAAAACCCCACAATTAATTAATTACAATTACTACCTACATGGTCACTGCCTAGCACATACTGACAAAGCAAAATATTTAGGTGCCACAATCCAACAAGATCTGAAATGGGATTCCCAGATAAACCACATTACAAACAAAGCAAATACAACATTAGGCTTCATTCGGCGCTACTTAAAAAGTAAACCCCAAAAATATTAAAGGACAAACGAGTGGGATCCGTACCAAAAATGTGATTAAACATGCAAGATGTGTCACTAACCGCCATCATAACGCCTCACCCTGACATGATCCAACATCTTAACTGGCCCAACCTCCCTGATAGACGTAAGGACGCCCGATTTACTATGATGTATACAATATCACACAGTAAAGTTGCCATTAATAAAGCCCTCCACTTGACACCACAGTTACGACAATCCAGACATTCCCAGGATCTCTCCTATCTGATTCCTCACTGTAAAGCTCTGTTTCTTTCTTTATAGAACTATCCCAGAGTGGAATAAATTGCCTCCTGACCTGGTAGCTTCAGAATTATTTAACACCTAGTCGGTGGTAGACTTTGGTAGACGTACGTAGACGAGTTGAAGGACTGCGTTAGATGCGACGAAAACCCTTTCGATGGCACCCGTCGCGGCATACACCTAGCCCTTGTTTTCGGAGTAAGAGTGGGTATATGGGGGGACAGTGACAAGCAGTGTTTTTGTTTTTGTTTGTTATGTTTTTGGTGGATTCACCTTCGTGCTAGCGTAAGGATTGATGTACCCCCCTCCCCCCATAAAAAAACACCAATTAAAATAACGTGTAAAATTACTCTAAACACATTAGTTTAGGTCCAAATATAGCTGTAACAAGTTCTCATCTCCCTGTGGTGTAGCGTACACCCTATCGGGACCACACAGCTATAGGGTGGTCTTCCACAGTGAATGTTTCATTGTAGAATGAATAGCTGGGACATGTTTCTGTAAGTATGCCATTAATTTTGCAGGCTGATTTGATATAATTATTTAAATGTCGGGCGGAAAAGAAAAAAAGAAAAAATGTCGATTACAAAAAAATCCTCGACTACATTTGCGCACTTTGTTAATGTACGAAGGGGAGGAACTCTTGGTTCCCTGTTCACTCCCGCGTATGTCGAGTTTTTGTCAAAGAAACGATTGAAATTAGGAAAAGTGTCTTCGTGTGTCATTACGAATGGAGTTAATTTATAAACCCCAATTAAGTATCACCTAATTTCTTTGCTGCATCTATTGCAATTAATGCTTGGAGCTTTATATATTTCACTTTCTGAAGTTTCAACCTTAGAACGTCTATTCTTCCACGTCTGTTTTGACAAGTCTATCGATACTTCACTTACTATATATAGCTATGACTTTCTGTGGCTTTCGTCATTGTTTTGATGGACTGTCGAAATAAAAACATTCCTTTTCTGATATAGCTTTAAATATATGTTAAACCGTGAAAGGCGCACTATGTTGCCTCTCAGCGATTTTCATGAAAATGTGTTATAAACATTGCACAATAAAATCGTACTGTTGAATTACCACTGGTTTTAAATCACTCAAATTTGTTTGTCCTTTTTTTTTTGTCATGATCGATTTTATATTTCAGGACTTTTTTGACATTTGCAATTACATTTACATGACATAAACATACTCTCTCTCACACAAACAATTAGATTTACATGACATAAACATACTCTCTCTCACACAAACAATTACAATTACATGAGATAAACATACTCTCTCTCACACAAACAATTACAATTACATGACATAAACATACTCTCTCTCACACAAACAATTACATTTACATGAGATAAACATACTCTCTCTCACACAAACAATTACATTTACATGACATAAACATACTCTCTCTCACACAAACAATTACATGACATAAACATTCTCTCCCTCACACAAACAATTACAATTACATGAGATAAACATACTCTCTCTCACACAAACAATTACTATTACCAGAGACGTATATTACAGAGATATGTCTCTGCAATTACTCATGTTTCAGCATTACACTCGGTTTCACCATTATCAACATCCTCATTATAATCATCAAAATAACATATAAAAATGTCCTCCTCCTCCTCCTCCTCCTCATCATCATCATATCATCATCATCATCATCATCATCATCACTCAAATATTATATTCCGTGTCGTGATATCATGCAGGTAGTAAATATAAAAGTGCGAACTACTCAAGCCGGTAGATATAAAAGCATGTGACTGTGAGTAGTTCAATTCGTTGCGCATGTTTTATGCAGGTGACATGGGCTTATATTAAACGTCTCAATTTCGTTTTTCCCTTTGCTTTCGTTTTGATTTTTTTATGGAGGAATTTTATGATTTTTTTTTGTGGTGGGGGGATTAAGGCCAGAGTAGAGCAAACCTACCACAATGTCGCATGCATATCATGTTGTGAGCATCATGCGATATTGTGATTTATTTTCAAACACAATTGTAGCATCCTTAATCATCCAGCTTATAAGCTTATTCAGTGTTGTAAACTTAAAAGTTTTGTTAAAGGACAGAAGTATCAAAGTGTTGCTACTCCGCTGGTTCAGTCTTGGCTGATTTAACGAAAGGATAGAACTTTATTTTTCCAACAACCACTATAGGGTTCCTCACGCACGATTCATTGGATAAACCTGCTAGGAGTTGGTGGGTTACACCAGGGACTTTGATAACATTTGTAATCTAATTCCGTGGTTACACCCTGGACGTAATTTCATTGGTCAATCTTTACTTAGTGTTAATAATATAAACTGAAATGTTATTCACAACATTGGAAAATTTGTTCACTGCGCAGTTGTCTCACATGTTTTTTTTTATTGCATTTGTGCATCGGAATTAAGTTATGACGTCACGTAACAATGCTTTTCGTTGTCATTCTTTAGCATGAATTGTGACGTCATGATCCATGGCAATTGCTTTGCCCACTGGAAACAGATATGATGTATTTTGCAAGGGAAACATGAGGTTTTCCAGATAAAATATGAACGTTATGGGTGAAAATGGTAAAACTATTGTCTTTACACCATTTGAAAATGAACAAACTCGAGTTAAACTTGGTAACCAACCATCACTCCTAGCTAATTTGGGAACATTTCCTCTATCTGGAACATTTTTTCATTTGGAGAGGAGTTTATCGCTTAAAATGATACCACATAAAGAGAGTAGTATTAATTTTTATGGGGTGTCCTATTTTTCGTGTAGTTTTATTGAATCGTTCAAAAATATTTTTTGGAGATATACCCGTGATAATTCATACCGGAATATTGGGACGCATGTACGGAGGCATTTGTTTCTGTCAATAATAATAGTCACGAGAAAAAATCACACTCTACTCATATTTTTGTTTTTTCTCGTGACTATTTTTATTGACAGAAACAAATGCCTAGCTGTGGACGCATATAGGCCTATATATAATATTTTCGCAATTTATTTAGAACATCACTCCCTTGGGGTGGCGTGACGTGAAAATGGCCATAGAGTGGTTCTATGGTATTATTACGTAATCTGACGCAGCGCCGCTCAGGAAATCCTGTTGGACGGGAAACCCCTGCAGGGATTGTTTAACTGAATTGCGTACTACGTCACTGGTGAATAGGTGGCGGTTTTCCATTTTGAGACTACCCCCGAAATTCACGGCCCATTCAGGTAAACGCTTTGAAGACAGCGACAGGTGAGGGAACTTTAGTGAGGTGTTTTCACTTCGCCGGCTTCACTCAAATCCTGAAAATGGCGACGCCGAAGTCGCCAGCTAAATTTCGCTCGTGGAGTTCGATGGACTCTATCGATCCAGCTGACATTCGACGACTATATGACCCGGAATCATCGTCGAAATCTTCGTCGGTTCGATGTGTGAGCACATGGATGTTTTCATTGCTTATTTTGGGATCTACCGTTCTGTTTCTAATCGGTTTATTGGTAGGATACTATGTTAGGGAAAGTCAAAACTTAGACAGTGATAGAACTATAGGACACTGTTATTATGGAGAGAGAAGCGATGGCTTTTCAAAACAACAGTTGGAATCGGCGCACGAAAACATCATGTATTCTCTTTCGTCAGAGAACATCAATGCTGTTAAAAGGTGAGTATTTAAATTTGACAGATCCGACGGCGATAAAAAGACCATAGTACTGGTACAAGTGTGTTTGCTTATTTCTCTATTACAAATAAGCATTATGTAACATTTGATTTATTAACTTATGTCAAACATGTATTGAATTAATATCTAACAAAACATTATATTTAATTAGTTATAAATGTACATTTTATTGTTAAAAATACATTGTATTTCTTTTTATAAAACTAACAAACTTATCAACCTTTTTCTTACATTTAACAGTAATTTTGGTAACTTATTGCAAACGAAATAAAGTTTTTGTGGCAATTACTGTAATTTGATTATTAATGAGTAATTTAATTTTTTTTCATCTTAAAAAGTTAAAAATATAATAATTGCATGTTATATTTAATTTGAATGAGTTTCATTTCAAAGCCAGTTTTCAGTTCCAACCAAAGAGTATGTGACATTGTCGTCAATATTCTATTTATAATTATTGCTTATAAATAATGAATAGATTTGTATATTGAATGATCATAATGAGAGAGAATTCCACATTCCCATGTAATTTCCTCAAAATGGTGATAAAAGGAATCATAATATTTAATTGCTAATGTCACAGCCAGGTGATGAGCTCTTGTCTGATCATGAGATGTCACCTTGTCTGGATGACATCTGTCATATTACAAATGTGGCCATATGTACAGGTATCACCACAAACAGAAAGTCTCACATTGCAACAGGGTGTCCGAGTGGTCAGTCCTGTCCGTAGCTGCGTGAACCACAGCTGCGTCTAAGGACCAATCATTTTAATTTTTAATTTTTAATGATCTGTTCAGTACATCAGCTACCCTGTCCGATACAGTGTACACAAATTCTTTTACTTATAAATCAATCAAGTTTTAAGAATATTTATTTTCGCTAATGTATTAATCATTATGATGACCAAAGTTTATGATGTCAAGAAATATAATAGACATTTTTGTTTTAAATCGATCTGTCTGAAAATAGCAGTGAAATATTCAAGTTTTGGACATTTTGCCTCTTTAAATCACCATGGAGATATTTATCTCATTAGGTATCAAATGATTCACAGTCCCCACCTTTAAATTTGCTGTCTGAAGTTTTTTTTCTACCTGTATTTTATTACGACATGTTGAGAGTTGATCTTTTGTGATCAATAGTACATTTCCTGTGTTAAAAAAAAAAAATCAGGAGTTTATTTATTTAAGTTTTTCTCCTTCAAATTTTGATTTTTAAAAACATGTAGCTTTTCATGTTTGAAGTGATCCGAATGTTAGGACCATCATGTCAGCCAATAGGTGTTATATGCAAATCATATAAAATTCATGTAGAAATTATTTATTGAAGCTGTTGGTATTGTCTTCTGATAATACATGCAGCTGTCGCAACAAGGGGTTTACCAGGTGAATGTGTCACTAGCTAGATAATAGCTTAATAGCTAGATTATAATAATCGGACAGGTAACTTAAATTCATTAGCTGCAGGTAATTGCACCTATATTGTCAATTGGCCCCTACCTGTTTGTTTGTCCATTGTGAATTACTATTCAAGTTTGAATTCAAGTGAAATACCTAAAGAATAAAATAGACTTTTACAGAAATAACGACAACACCTGTCTAATTTTGTCTTGTAAATAAAACCTTACACAAAGAATCTCAACAAGTAATTTAGTTTCTCTCCTACAAGCTATTGACAATGATCCAAATCTTTTAAAGGAAAACGAAAGAACCGTTCTTCCCACCTGCATGTAATAAATTGCAAATCTGAACCAGACCTAATTACTGGTAATGGTTAAGAATGAAGATTTTGGACTCCGTAATTTTAAGGGTCAGATCGGTGTGCGGTTACACAAGAGTGACAAATTACGACTACCCCTCCTTCCGTTGGACAAAGACAGACAAGATTTATTGCACTACTGTGGACAAAATATACCCTACCTGCTAATTACATAGAACGTTGATTTCAGCTGATGTCACTTTCCTTTTTGTGTTTTTTTTACCTGGTTCAACCTACCTGACCTTTTCTTCCTTAGATGGTATGATGCCACTGTAGATTAGTGACATATACCTAAGCATAAACAAGATACCATTGTTTAAAAACTCTTAAAGAAGAAGTCAGAGTTAGTTGTAACCCCTGAAACGAACCAGGGGGATTTTTTTAGTGTTTGATTTTAAAAACTTTTTGATTGGGAATTTGAAGTTCTTTTGGGAAACAAAGATGCCCTTTTGGCCTTGTGGCTAATGTATGCTTCATAAACTCAATCTTAAAGTCAACTTCTATAATCATTTAGGGATATTTATAGTGTAGCTACTTTAGGGGTCTAAAACTTCAAAGACATTGAAGATGAGAAACTGCTGGTTCGATGATGAGGTCTTAAAATAAAACAGCCCAAGCATGATGTATTTTTTTAAGGAAAGGTGTTAAAAGCTAGCACATCATCAGACAATTCTTTTTGAAGAAACAAGTTTTCTTGATGCCCAAATCTGACAAAGGTTCCGCCCCTGTGGTTGGTACAAAGGGTCTCTCCTTTGACTGTCTACAATAGGGGTTTGGCCCCTCGGCTTTGATATGATACTAACACAATAGGGACAGCTGACAGTGGAAAACACATATTCAGCAGAGATAGTTTTAGGCACTTTTCAAATAAAACAGGACTACCTTCTTGAACAAACCTGTTTTAGCCAAAAGCAATATAACTAGACGGGAATTTATGTTTTTATTTTTCATTTCATTTTAAAAGCAGACAACAATGGGCTACATGGCCTATATAACTATTAGCTTTAAAGTTATTAATTCTCACTTGCAGGGACATAAATATTTTGAAATGTTATTGGGACTTTAAGAGAGATTCCCATCCACTCAACCCCAAAAAATTCTTCTGAAATATTAATACTGATAGTCAGTTGCTCTGCCTTCTGAGACAATATGACACATTCTGAATATTTAGACCACATTTCTTTTTGGAGTAGGAGGGATATATTTTTTTCAAATTTGGAAAAAAATTGTCTAAAATTCATCAGTAGTTAATTGGCATAATTTGGCTCCAAATATAAATTCAAAGAGGAAAAAAACAGTAAACCTTTCCACTGCATACAGAATGTGTATAATTACATTTTGTAAATATGTCATTTTCCAACCGTCATGGAAAAGTTCTTTGAAGTATATATTAGCACAATTACAAAAACAAACTGACAATAGGCTGGTAAAAACATACTTTAGTAGTAAAACTGTAATAGAAGAATTATATACTTTGGCAATTAGTTTAAGTTAAATAATAAGTGTTGTAGAAATTACCGTGTCAGTTATACATTTTGTAACACATACTTGTCAATTTTTTAATTGGAGAAGAATTTGTGTGACAATATTTTAGAATGTCTAAAAAATATTTATAATGATATGTAGGACCAAGGTATCTGACAAAAACTGTTTTTTTTTCTGTCATAGTTTATGCTGTTCTACCCAAAGAATGATTGAATTTGATGGAAAAAAAATGATGAAGGAAAATGATGAAGGAAATTTTGTCTACAGATAAAAACTTAACAAAATGTTGGCAAAAAATGTTCAGTCATGATCCTTCAAAACATGAAAGATTTGGCAAGAAGCTAGGCTAACATTTGAACTAGATATTCTTACATACCATAGTTGATCAAATAAATCCCTTCTTAGGCACTTGATAATTTGGGAACTTTTTTTCACATCATATTGCAGAACCTCGCACAAAATAATCAAAACATAATCATATGCAACAATTTTTAAAGTCAGTCAGTTAATTAATATGATGCTGAGAGCAGAAAAAGGATAGGGGTGCTACTTATAACAGATGGGGTGGTTATTACGCAGACTACGGTAACTGTGTTCCAATTCTGCCTTTGTATTTTACCTAATCCCTCAGTGTGACTTAATCTGTTGCCCTTCCTAATCCTTCAGAACAGAATAATTTCAATTGTTACAATTTTATAATTGATTAATTTTTTTGAATGAAATGTAATTTGAAATATTAACATAGCTGCGGAATGTATACCCCCCTAAGCAGTAGGTAAATACATATATATATACCAGCTGTAATTATTAATGAAACACTCAATGAGTTTAACCTTTGATCAGAAAGCTATTCAAGCACATGACAGGTCAAAGATAATGCAAATTATTGTTACTGATTAATAACGAGATATTAATTATCGAGTATATATATTTTATGTATGAACATTAAAGTACCCTCAATGATGTGTGATTGACATCAATAGCATTTTAAACAGTTCATATGGCAGACCATAGTGAATGTTTATAATTAGTAACTTACGTGCGACGATGCAATTATTGGATTTTGTTTTGCCTTTTTCTGCCTGAACGAGTTGTAAACAGGATTTAAATTATTCTGGATAGATCTTGATTACGCATCGTTAACTAATTAACCTGGCTAATTAACAAATGAGGTATTTAAAGGTACACAAGAATGAATGTGTTGGTACATAGTTCTCAGCTAATTTAAATTAATAGATTTCACTCTAATAATTTTTGTCAATTGAATTAAGGTAGAGTTCTAGTGCTCTGCATTGTATTATCTCCAATGAAGGAGAGTTCCAGGATGTTTGGCTTTATTTAATTTCTTACTTGGAGTGGTTTGCCAATTTACCTATGCAACAAGTTATATATGAAAAATAATACATATACATGTACAAGTGATTATATTTTTTATTTTTTTAAAACCTTTCCAACACTGGAGTTCGCGACCACTGGACCTCTTGATGTTATAAAAAAGGGTCAAGATTTAATCCACTAGTGCACTGTCGGTCATGATATTTGCTACATTAATACTTTTCGGCAATGTTACTGGGAATGACTTCATTAAATACTCTCAACTCTCTAAAGTGACTTTCAACCTGTAATTTTCTTGTATGAATATAGAGGTCTGAGGTCTAACAAATTTAACAGAGAAATATAGCATTACAGGCCTGAATACAGTCGAAAACAGTGGGACTTAAATCTATATATATCTAGCA